AGTTGGAGGGGGGTTCTTTTTGGCTATGGAGCACTCTGCCCTAATGAGAATCTGTAGATACGTACAATGATCTGCCCTCCACCCACGTGGGGTAAGATAAAGAAGCTGAAAAGGGTGAATGGAGAAAGAAGAGGGGAAAAGTGAATGGCCAACTCCTTGCAGTGAATTTTAGTTCCCCCTATTTGTGGGTGTGCACTCCCAACAGATTCCTTGCCAGGGAATTCATCCCGATGATCAATCTTTGAAAACAGGATTTCAGATATTGCCAGGGATCCCCAAATATCAACCAGAACAGTTTATTTTCGGTTTTGAATTTTATTTAGAACTATCATGAACCATTAGGCCAAGCAGATGACAACTTCCAAGGGTTGCAATCAGGAAGGAGAAAACACTTAAAGAACAGAAGGCTAAAGCATCGGGGGGGGGGGGGACATTTTTTTTTAAAAAAAAAAAAACCTGAAACGTCAATAAAGGAGAAATTGAAAAAGCCAAACTGCTGGCAGAACATTGTCAGAAACACAGCAAAAGCTGTCATAATTCCAAGTTAATTCAGAAGGCAATACAATTTGGGGAACAGCCACCGTGACTTTCTGCTTCTAATTCTTTCAAATCATTCATATCATTAATTCTCAATATCACAGAGCGATGATTAATTTGCTTTGGAATTCCAAGGAGGATAACAAACGGCAGATGGAAAAGAAGAAAACCATGTGAAAGATCTAAGATGGAAGCAAGCTGTTAATTAATGTTCTTTAGGAATCGCCTCCTCCACCGTTGCTAATTAAACCAGATAAATGAGATAAGAGATCCGTTTAATACCAGCAGCCAGCATATCACAGGGCTTAACAAAATGGACGTAGACGTTCATCTAAACCGCACATGGCCTCCAAAAGCTTAGGAGCAGACCCCAAGACCTCCAAAACGTGTTTCCAAATCGTATTTTTTAATGTAAGAGGATTCTAACTTTATAAAGTATATATTAAATACATATCAATAGATATTAGGATATGTATTCTAAGAGAAGATAAACATATCCAACAGAAGAGAATATAAGGTGTCTATCATTAGATATGTTATTAAATATGCAACTAGAGAATGGCCTTATCAACTACATTTAACTAACTCAATCTGAACGTAAGTTAAAACTTCTCTCCTTCTCCTTCTCCTTCTCCTTCTCCTTCTCCTTCTCCTCCCTCTCCCTCTCCCTCTCCCTCTCCTCCTTCCTTCCTTCC